CATATTTCGATTACGACATTGAAAAATCTACTCCCGAAAGGGGAGACCGTAAAGAAATATGATATATTGAATTTTTTTCTGTATTAATAAATTAATTAAAAATTCTGGTATGTATATGTATAATAAATATATTCCCTTCGCATATGACGTAAAAAAATAATCTCTTTTTTGTTTTTTTTTAATTATACTATTATCAATCAACGTCAAAATTGGAAAACATGTACCACTATTTATTATTATATTATGCACATATATATCGTAAGCAGTGATAGAAATTATGATTTAATACTCAAAAAAAGGAATAAAATATAAGTCTCATTATAAAACAAATTACATAAATGATCATGAAATTGTTCTTGAATGACGAAAAAACAGAATTTTGTATAAATGTCTAATAAATTGCAAGATTAATTAAATACAATAGTTAATTACTTATTTATTTTAAGAATACCGCGTAAAGGAATTAGCTTGACTATTTTATGATGTACCAGGATAACTTCTTCAACATAAATATACGTATATACAACTACTAGGTGTTCCACGTTTAAAAGAAAATGTTTCAGATTCAGAAAAATTAATTGTATTCTAACTTATCAGAAATAATATCGCAAATGTTTTTATTTAACAAAGAACAACTGAAAGTTTATTTTCATATCATTTTATTTCAACAGATTCAAAAATCCTTCTGTGTTACTTAAGATTGAACATTAGCATACTTTACACTACTTATAATTTCGAAATTAAACAAATTTCGATTTCAATGCAAATACATTAAAGCAATATTCTCAATTGAATTAATTTTTAATGTACATGAAGTCTTTTAGTCTAAACACATTGCACTTGCTAAGTTTATAATCAATTAGTTCTTTACTGTAATAGAAAATGATCTTTTGAATGTTTACAACAGAATTACGTGTCCTTAATTTCTCTTATTGTAATAACTGAAAGCTCTTCGTGTAGTCGTTTGTATTATCTACAACGTTCTCATCTCTAAATCATAAATAAGATTCGCATTCGTAATAGTTAAAAAAAATGCTGTCCATTAATTATTATCATAAGATCCACTCTTTCCTAACCTGAGCTAATCTTCGCATTTCCCTTAACTAGAACATCCCACATTCATAACTATTTGCGAATAGTAATAGATATTATCATTGTTTAAGTAATTATCATAAACATTTTAATTAAAATCTTCGGTTTATGATGAAATTATTGTTTTTTGAAAAAAAGCTTGAATTTCAATTGTAGAAGTAGGAAGATTCGTTTGCTTCGACGCAATTTAATAAACAATAAACGGCGAAATGACCTTTTCATTAATTGCTATAATTGAAATAAACATCTACACCTATAAAAATCTATTAATTAAAACTGATTAATAATATAAATGACATGTGAACCAATTAAATGTTATTATAGAACAGGACAACCATATACCTATACGTTGTTTATAATTACAACACATTCATTTTCTTAGACGTCTCCAATATTTTGAAATGTCACACAAACGTTGCAATATTTATTAAAATTTTTAATTTAATTATAAGTAATATTAATTAACAATTGTCTTTGTTTTATTCATTTACATAAACAGAAGGCAGTACATAAATCGAGAAGTTGATATTCCTAATTATACTCAAAAGTAACTAATTTGTTTCTCAAAAAAAAACCCAATTTTTACACCTGTCTACGAATGATTAAAAGGAATGATACACAAATTGCTTTTTTAACATTTACAGAGATAAATTTAATGTAATACAAGGTCAACAATGTATCAAATGTCTTCTTCTAAATTTACAAAGAAAATATATTTCAGTAGGTATTGTTATAATTTACTACTTACCCACTAAACTCTTTTTAACATTAAATTTAAAATTTAAATACTATATGAAACGCTTTGAAATTCAATAGTGGTTAATATCAAATATCAATGCGAAAATTCATTTTTAATTTTTTACGTAACAGTGTAGCATCGTGGAAAAAAATTAAAAACGAATTTTCATATTAATATTTCCAATTTTAGTTAAAATTAGACGAATCTAGTTATACTGTTAAACTTGATTTCAATAAAGCTTTTAAATACGACTTATAAGTACAAACCCTAATATTATGTATTATTTTATAAAGACAAAGATTATTGTTCTGCTAGTAAAATA